GTGGATTGTTCTCCAGATCCTCCGGTTGTTTTCTCTCCAAATTCATCAGCGTGCGTTTTAGAGCATTTGGTTGCTACTACAAATGTCCACGTGATAAGCCACTTCGGTGAGCGATCATTTGTGCCCAGTTCGCTTCTGAAAAGAGCTCTATAAAATATCGTGTGTTTAGCACGGAAGCTTTCGCGACCAATACATCTATTTACGTGATTTAACTCCAGAAATTCTCTATTATGGAGAATATAGTTTATACCATCTTTAAAATGGCTTATGAATTGTTGATGCTTTCCCGAGTAAATCATCTGCCCAGCGTGTTTCAAGGTTATTTGCCTTGTTCATTTAATAATGAAGCATTGCAAATCCTATGATGCACGCATTGCAGACGGATGGCTTGGCAAATGAGTTGTATAGGGGTCGAGGGGAGAGAGTGGCAGACTTGTGTTCAGGTAGCGATGGGCAGGCTAAGAGCCTCCCAGTTCAACCAGTCTACACAACAAAGGCTCATTCCTAGCAGCAGTTTCAGCCGCACCGAACCTCACAATGGCTCCTCCCACCCTCAACCAGTATATATACAAAGACTGTTTTCTTGGAATTTCTCTCACTTGATACAGCTGTCGTGCTGTGACGGTTCCACCTGAAGACAGTAGCTTGTGGTGCCTCCGAAACGTCGTGATTTTTATTTTATTTTACTTTTATTAATTTAAAATTTTACCTACCTGGTGACTTTACCGAAAAAACCTAAGAATATGCTAAGAGCGCTCACTGCATTGTTCCAAAACACCTCCAAGAGTTGTCGAATGTTCACGCGAAAGAGAAGAAAGGCACGATCACAAAACGATCAAAACCATCTGATCTCGTGATGAAGCTGACGAGTACTAAACTGCGAGTTGCTATCAACGCTGATTAAAAACGGCACCGGCTTTTAACGGGATGTATTCATTCTAATAGAGCAGCGTCTCGTGGCAGGATGTCAACTCGTGTGTTCTCTCACTGCTCATCAAAATACTATTCAGAGCAGCTCCTCTGGGTGCACAATTAGCGCAGAAATATCGAGAAACCAAAGGGGGGGGGGTTGTATTCTTGGCTCTTTCGGTAAAGTCACGTAGAAGGGAAATACTAAAATAATAAAAGTATTACATAGATAAATAAAATTAAAATTCATGAATTTGTATTTTAATTATTCCTTTTTTGTAAAATTTAAATTCAATTAAAATAAAATCGAAACTCAAGGGGATTTGCTCAAAGCGTCTGCCGTTGCATAATTCTCACATTAGGCGGGACATGTTATTGTTTTCGCCCGGCATTAGCCATGAACATGTCAAACGCGAGTGACATTCAGGTGACTGCTGCACACGGATTCAAGGCGAGCTGCAGTAACAATCATCCTCCACCAAACGAAACATTCAAACAAACTCCAAGTCACAGTGATCGGGGCAGGATGCCTCTTGTTTGCGAGGGACGCGCGTGTGTGGGATTAGATCATCACGGGAGCACGTGGGATCTGACTCATCACAAGCAGCACGCCCTGCTGACTCATCATGACTAAATACAACAACAACAAGGCTACCCACTCGATAAAAGAGCTTGCCACAGACACTGCAGTGGTGGTGGGGAGTTCATTCCTCACCTTGTGCTGCCAGCCAGCCTGCCTACCTGTATACCAGCCTGCCTACCTGTATACCTGCCTGTCTACCTGCCTGCTTGTCTACCTGTCTACCTGCCAGCCTGTCTACCTGTATGCCTGCCTGTCTACCTGTCTACCTGCCTGTCTACCTGCCTGTCTACCTGCCTGTCTACCTGCCTGCCTGTCTACCTGCCTGTCTGACTACCTGTCTACCTGCCTGTCTGTGTACCTGCCTACCTACCGACCTACCTGCCTGCCTGCCAACCTGTCTACCTGCCAGCCCGCCAGCCCGCCCGCCTGCCAGCCTGTCTACCTGCCCACCTGCCTGTCTACCTGCCTGCCCGCCTGCCAGGCTGCGTGCCTGTCTGTCTACCTGCCAGGTGAGATGGTGCCGACGACGGGGAAACTCGTTTGCGATCGCCGTCTATTTGATTAGGAATGGGGCCACATTGCGGATGCGGTTTCTTTTCGTCTTCACGCGAAAGGATTTCGTTCCTTAGCCGCTTCGCCCCGAAGGTACGTGTGTGTGTATGTGTGTGTGTATAACACTGTGTGTGTGTGTATAACACTGTGTGTGTGTATAACACTGTGTGTGTGTGTATAACACTGTGTGTGTGTATAACACATTACCAGTGTTGTGTGTGTGTGTGTGCAAGTGTTAGGTTCGATTCCCGCTCATGGCCAACACCGGTGACGATTATCTGAACCGGTCATGGGCCTCCCCTAGGTCTACTCGGCCTCATGAGTGCCTGGTACGCCACTGGGTGTGTGTGTGTGTATAACACTGTGTGTGTGTATGTGTATAACACTGTGTGTGTGTGTATAACACTGTGTGTGTGTGTATATAACACTGTGTGTGTGTGTGTATATATATAACACTGTGTGTGTGTATATATATATATAACACATTACCAGTGTAATGTGCTATTCAGTGGCCTAAAATAAAATGTTTCGCTCCGGATGATCGCTGCAAAGTATAACCTGTGTTTTGATTTAGTGTGCTGATCTTAAAGGTGCATTGAAAAATGTTGATACTCCGATTGATGCTGCTGCTGTTGTGGAGTGACTCATGCAGCAGCCAGCTGTGGCTGCAGGGTTCTGGTGGTACATGTTTATGTCGTTTACTAGCTGTACTACCCGGCTTCGCCCGGGACTTGTATCCACCACGGCCGGCCGCCTTTGTCTCCCCAGTGGCGATGTTAATACGCCACACCAGTTACTCGTTTTGCGGCTGAGTCCCTCCCTCACCACTCTCCCTCCCTCACCACTCTCCCTCCCTCACCACTCTCCCTCCCTCACCACTCTCCCTCCCTCACCACTGACGCACGGCCGCCTTTGTCTCCCCAGTGGCGATGTTAATACGCCACACCAGTTACTCGTTTGAGGCTGAGTCGACCTAGGGGAGGTTCAAATAATCGTCACCGGTGGTGGCCGTGAGCGGGAATGGAACTCGGTTCGCCGGGTTGGTAGCGCAGCGTAGCGTTAACCACTACACCCACCGCTCCTCACACACCACACACGCACAGACACACACACAGACACACACACAGACACACGCAGACACACACAGACAGACACACACACACAGACACACAGAGAGCACGCTAACCACTACACTAACGCTCCCCACACACCACACACGCACACACACAGACACACACACAGACACACATACACACACATACATACACATACATACACACAAACACATACACACACATACACACACATACATACACAGAGACATACACATACACACAAACACACACATACATACACACAAACACATACACAATACACACACACATACATGCAGACACACAGACAGACACATAACACACATACATACACACACATACATACACAGAAACACATACACACATACATACAAACACACATACATACACACAAACACATAAAAAAAACCGACATACATACACACACACATACAAACACACAAACACATACACACACATACATACACACATACATAGAGACACACAGACATACACATAAACACATACACACATACACATGACCCGGCTTCGCCCGGGACTTGGATCCACCACGCCCGGCCGCCTTTGTCTCCCCAGTGCCGATGTGAAAACGCCACACCAGTTACTCGTTTTGAGGCTGAGTCCCTCCCTCGCCACTCTCCCTCCCTCGCCACTCTCCCTCCCTCACGACTCTGTAGAGGACGTGAAACTTTTATGAATTTACCTTAGATTCGCGTGGTGGGTGTCGAGGCCTAGCACCGTGCAGAGCCTCCCGCCTCGCCTGATTTTCCCACCCGGCTGACGCTGGGTACGGGTGCCGGTCCCCCCCCCCCTAGCGCTCGAACAATACTGAGTAATGGCTATTATTTAATTAATTACGGAGCCTATGAAAGTGGCGAAGGCGTGGCTAGCCATTGGCAGGGGCAACCGCCGTCCAATGAAACTGCAGCCCTTGGCGAAGGCGTCGCTAGCTGTTGCCAGGTCCAATGAAAGCGGCGAAGGCGTCGCTAGCCGTTGGCAGGGGCAACCGGCGTCCAATGAAAGTGCGTATGGTCCGGAGACACACAGACACACAGACAGACAGATAGACAGACAGATTCACGATTTTATATATATAGATTGTGAAAATTCCGTCACAGTTCCTATGATCACTGTTTCATTGCTTTTATTTTGGTGATTTCGAAAAGTTTACTGGTTTGACCACGTTTGTTGTAGTACGGAGTAAGACTGATGGCCTTAATCTAAGTTGTCTTGTGGTTGTTGTTGTTGTTTGACTTGCATCCCACTGGGATGTTTGCACAGCGTTGGTGTAACGGTGTTTTTCTCTGCAACATTTTGCTGTCGTTTCTTGGATTTTCTGTTTGCACTTAGTCACATAGTCACTTTAAGATGTTTTCTTGTTCATGTTTTTGTCTTTTGTTTGTTGCGGTTGCACCCAATTCAAGAGCCGAATGGCTCACAGCGCTACACCTAGTACTTGAACTTGAACTTGAGATGTTAACTCCTTGCCTGGTACGCAAGCGGTCGTGGGTTCGTTCCCACGTACCACACGGGGTCATTAACATCTCCCAGCCACCGTTATGATGATGACGATGACGATGAGCGAGACATGAAAACTAAAAAGATACGGCAGCAGGCATCGTCAGGGTCGGGATCGAACCCACGACCTTTTGCGTACCAGGCGAGGATGTTAACATCTCCCAGCCACCGTTATGATGATGATGACGATGATGATGAGTGAGACATGAAAACTCAACATATACGACAGCAGGCATCGTCAGGGTCGGGATCGAACCCACGACCTCTTGCGTACCAGGCGAGGGCGTTAACATCGTCACGGCCCGCGTCTCTTCTGCGCAGCGCAGCTGACCACGGGGATTGCGATGGGCTCCCTGCACTGCATGGACTGCTGCCCTCTGCTGGGTCTCTGCGTCTTGACACAGCTGTGGGCAGTGGGCAGCTCCTCTTGGTGGTAAACGCGAGACGCCAACGCTGCTGTCTTCCGCCTCACTGCTGCGACGATCGCACAAGTTTCGACGTTAAGCAACCTTCTTATCTCGCCAATATGTTGCACACCCCATACGGTTGTTGTACGGGAATGTTTGTTTTATCTCGTGCGCGTGTGTGTGTATATACACTAGGTACACAATGTCTAGCGGGCACCACGGTGGCTAGGAGATGTTGACTACCTCGGCTGTTATGCAGGAGGTAGTGGGTTCAATTTCGACCTTATAACACGCCGTATAGTTGGAGTTGCTATGTTTTCCCCGTGATCGTATAAGCTTTTTTTTTATTCTGTGGTCCTCCGGCCGGGTACGTGTACCCGTTTGCGACCCTGGTGCGGCTGAGTACGGGTACGGGTAGGCCGTGAGTCACTGGTGAGTCACCGTTTGTCACTCATTTCCCAACGTCTTGTCTCTTCTCACAATTCAAGTTCCTGGAATCAACCCACCCGCGCCTGCAACATGGCTTCATCCCAGAGGTCGCAATCGGGTATCCGTACCTGTACCCTACCCGGCCGGGTACGGGTAGCCGGGTATCGGGTAGGGTACGGGTATCGGGTACCCGGTTGCGACCTCTGGTGTGTGTATACATGGCGTAATAATATTCACATTTAAAACCTGTAGAAATTCCACAGATAGCTCTTTGACATTGTATATTGTAGCTCTCTCTCTCTCTCAGGAGTGGTCTGTCTGTCGCACATTGTAGCTCAAGGGAGTGGCCGATATAAATGACCACGTGATGATGATGATAGCGGCAGCCGGATTAGCCCCAAACGCGTAGAGACGTTGATTCTAAATGCGAAGGAGGAGGAGGAAAAACCAGAGGGACCTGGAGAAAAATCCACGCGACCACGGGGAGAGACACACAAACTCAACACGTACATGCAGCAGCAGGCATTTTTAAAAATCCTTTATATTAAGTTCGCGTGCTTGCTTGCGTGCTTGCTTGCTTACGACCGTGCAAATCTTTCGCTCGTTTTTGAACCCACTTCCCGTGATCCAATCGAGCTGACATTTTCCACACAGACTCGTTGTGTGTGACAAATAATTTTCGTGAAAAAAATTTTCCAAAATTTTACACTGTTTAGGGAAAACAAATTAAATATTTAATTACCAATTGCTTAATGGTGGCAGACAATCATCTGACCCATAGGTGGCAGCCATCTCAAGCCAGAGGACGAGAAGACTCTAGCCGCCACGCATATAAAGGATTTATAGTGAAAAACTTTGTTTTTACGGGTTTACTTGTAAGGGGTTGGGATCGAACCCACGACTGCCTGCGTACCAGGCGAGGTAGTTAACATCTCCTAGCCACCGTGATGATGATGAGAGAGAGACACGCAGACTCCAAATATACAGCAGCAGGCGTCAGGGTCGGGATCGAACCCACAACCTCCTGCACACCAGGCGAGGTAGTCAACATCTCCTAGCCACCGTGATGATGAGAGAGAGAAACACGCAAACTCCAAATATACAGCAGCAGCAGGCGTCAGGTTCGGGATCTAACCCACGACCTCCTGTACACCAGGCGAGGTAGTTAACATCTCCTAGCCACCGCGACTCCCACCCCTCTGCAGGCCGCTTGCGCAGTGGGCCCTCCACTCTAACACCACCGAGTATCGGCCGCTGTGCATCGGGGCTCCGGGACTATCCCCCGTGCAGCGCAAGATGTGCCTGCGCCGCCTGGACCACATGCACGCGGTGGTGCAGGGCGTCCGCCTGGCGCTGCATGAGTGTCGCGACCAGTTCAAGGGCAAGCGGTGGGACTGCACCGTGCCTGGCGCGGAGAACGCGCCGGACCCCGAGTCAGGTAAGGGGACCGTCGCCCCGGGTCGGAGCCTCCGCCGGCAACAAGCGAGTTTCCCCTCGACGTTGACGTTTGTTCGCCCGCCACGTCCACTCGCACCTAGGGTCTCCTGCCGCTTCCCCGAGGCGCACACGAGCTGCGTGGGGGGGTGAAGGGGGGGGTCGTCCAGCTCCCCATCGCAACTCTCCACTTCAGAGTTGCCGCGTCCCTCCTCCACGGGGGTCCCCCTCCCCTACGCCACTCGGCTTTTGGTGGTGGTGGCAGTGACTTGACGATGGTGGTGGTGGTGGTGACGATGACTGTGGTGGTGGTGGTGGTAGTGACTTGACGATGGTGGTGGTGGTGACGGTGGTGACGATGACGGTGGTGGTGGTAGTGACATTGACGGTGGTGGTGGTGGTGGTGATAGTGACTTGACGGTGGTGGTGGTAGTGACATTGACACGCTGCTGACAGGCAGCGTAAGAGGGATAGACAGAGAGAGACACGCGCAGCCACGTGGCAGCCTGGACCCCCGTTCTTGCGTGGCCCCCTTCCTCCGTTCGTTCCCGTTCTGACCACGTGTTGTTCGTCTCCACCCCTATTTAATACCCGGGTCACGTGGTACGTTTCCACCAATCCCGGTTAGCCTCCATGGAATCTTCCAGACTCCATCGTAGGCTCCCGGGACCACGCCCCTGACTCGTCTCCCCATTGGCTGTGGCCAAAGCCAGCAGGGCCAATCATCTACAAACAGCTGTCACCTTGCCATGACGTCAGGGCCACGCCCCCAGGCTTCCCCCCATTGGCTATGGACCAGGACCGGCAGAGCCAATCATCGTGACGAGTTGTAATCCGTCAACGACCCGGATGTAACCTCACGTTACAAATAGCCGACGTTCCCCCCTACACCTGCTCGGCATGTCCTCCTCCTCCCGCCGCCCCGGCAGGCTTTACGCGCTACACCACGGGAGTGTTCCCCGGCGTGTCCCCCGGCTCTCGCGAGGATGCGTTCCTCTCCGCCATCGTCGCCGCCGGAGTGTCCCACGTGGTGGCGCGCGGCTGCCGCCAGGGGCAGTTCCGGGGCAGCTGCTCCTGGGTCGTTCCCGACGCCATGAGGCTACCGCCGCGTGCTCGGCGGGGCGGCTCATCGGACGACGTCGAATACGGATACCAGTTCGCCAAGTGGTTCGTGAATGTGGGCGATGGCAGTCGTAGCAGGCAGAGAGGGGAGTCTTTGGCGATGAATTTGCACGACAACGAGGCGGGTCGGCTGGTGAGTGTGTGAACGGGGTGGTGGGTCGTTGTAGATGTTGTCTTTTTTTTTTTTATAATAAAAAAAAGTTACTCCATGCTAATTAGGTTTGGCCTCCTTGCCTAGGGTTGTATTACCAATCGTGATTAACGCAATGGTTCTCGCTTGAACTTCTACCGGTAATGTTTTAGCGTAATGATGTCTGGTGGTGGTGATGACGGTGGTGGTGGTGGTGGTGATGACGGTGGTGGTGGTGGTGGTAGTGACATTGACGGTGGTGGTGGTGATGTCTGGTGGTGGTGATGACGGTGGTGGTGGTAGTGACGCTGGTAGTGGTGGTGGTGGTGCTACAGGCGGTGTACAATCTGGCGCACATGGACTGCAAGTGCCACCTGCTTTTTGGCCGCTGCATGCTGAAGATCTGCTGGCAGCAGCTCGCCGACTTCCACCAAGTTGGGAACTTGCTGAAGGTGAGCTGCTCACAGCTGCTGGGTGGGACTGCCCCCAGAGGGAGTGTGGGTGTGACGAGGATTCATCCATTGGGGGGTTACAGGCGGGGGGGGGGGTCCCTAACAGCTAAGGGAGCTCCCCGCATTCACTCGACAACCACCACATCCCCCGATGATGGTGGTGATGGTGATGATGGTGGTGATGATGATAATGATGATGGTGATGATGATAATGATGATGGTGATGATGATAATGATGATGGTGATGATGATAATGATGATGATGATAATGATGATGGTGATGATGGTGGTGATAATAATGATGATGGTGATGATATTGATGATGATAATGATGATGACGATGGTGATGATGGTGGTTGCAGCACAAGTACGACACAAGTTCCGCCATGCAGCTGGTCCGCCACAACAGCAGCAGCAGCGTTGCTGGTGCCACCCGCTGGTCCCGCTGGCGTCTGGAGCCGGTGAACGAGCGCTTGACGGCGCCCACGGCGAGCGAGCTGATGCATGTGAGCGCCAGCCCCGGCTACTGCGAGCGCAACGACGCCAGCGGCATCCCCGGCGCGGTGGGGCGGCGGTGCAACGTCACCTCCGAGGGCAAGGAGGCATGCTCCGTCATCACGTGCTGTGACAGAGGATACGACATCTCACAAGGTGAGCCCCTCGCCCCTCACCTCTCCCTAACCCCCCCCCCGAAAATTAACTAAAACTAGTCATTAAAAATTAACCCGTAAAAACAAAGTTTTTCACTATAAATCCTTTATATGCGTGACGGCTCGAGTCTTCTCATCCTCTGGCTTGAGATGGCTGCCACCTATAGGTCAGATGATTGCCTGCCACCATTAAGCAATTGATAATTAAATATAATTTTTTTTCCTAAAAAGTGTAAAGTTATGGAAAAAAAATTTCACGAAAATAAATTGTCACGCACAACGAGTCTGTGTGCAAAATGTCAGCTCGATTGGATCACGGGAAGTGGGTTAAAAAACGACCGAAAGATTTGCACGGTCGTAAGCGCGCAAGCAAGTGAACTTAATATAAAGGATTTAAAAAGCAACAACTATTTCATATTTGACCAGGCAAGGGCCAGTGAGCTACAGTGAGGGAAAAAACTATTTGATCCCCTGCTGATTTTGTACGTTTTTCCCACTGACAAAGAAATGATCAGTCTATAATTTTAATGGTGGGTTTATTTGAACAGTAAAAGACAGAATAACAGCAACAAAATCCAGAAAAACGCGTGTCAAAAATGTTATAAATTGATTTGCATTTTAATTGTCTCCACGCATGCACCAGTCTCTCTCTAATCACCCTGTCCCTATACCACTTCACACTGTTCTTCACCACTATACAGTACCGTACACCCACGCAATCACACCGTCCCTATACCACTACGCACAGTCTTCACTACTATAAGTACCGTACACCACGCAATCACACCGAAAATGCATTTCTGTAGAACTGCTTTCCGTGATCCTTAGGTCGCTCGAAGGGATCTCGTCGGCAGTGGCTCTGCGACGGCCGCTTCCCCGCGGGTCATTCGCAGAGGTCGCAAACGGGTTCTGATTCCTTACCCCTCGTACCCGGCCGCACCAGGGTCGCAAGCGGGTACCCGGCCGTACCCGTACCCTACCCGTACCCGGCCGGGTACGGGTAGGGTACGGGTATCGGGTACCCGATTGCGACCTCTGGGATGAAGCCATGTTGCAGGCGCGGGTGGGTTGATTCTAGGAACTTGAATTGTGAGAAGAGACAAGACGTTGGGAAATGAGTGACAAACGGTGACTCACCAGTGACTCACGGTCCACCCGTACCCGGCCGCATCAGGGTCGCAAACGGCTATGGGTATCGGGTAGGGTACGGGTATCGGGTAGGGTATTGGGTAGGGTAGGGTACGGGTATCGGGTAGGGTACGGGTATCGGGTAGGGTATTGGGTAGGGTACGGGTATCGGGTAGGGTACGGGTATTGGGTAGGGTACGGGTATCGGGTAGGGTACGGGTATTGGGTAGGGTACGGGTATCGGGTACCCGGTTGCGACCTCTGGTCGTTTGACAACGTCGGGAGGAGAAGTGCGCGGAGATTTTGTTAACCTCGACGTTAACGGCGGTCGCACAATAGCGACGATCTCGTGAGCTCTCTCCCCTCTGCTGTTCCCTCCCCAGTCACGCTGGAGACGCAGTGCGGATGCAAGGAGCAGCTCAAGGAGAACGTCAAGTGCAAGCTTTGCCCGTGGACCGTCGATCAATTCGCTTGCAAGTAGCCTCCAGCCCCAGTCTAGGGGGGGCCTCGACTGAAATCGCGACCCCCACAAAGCTGTTTAGGGCATCGACATCCAGCGTGTACCCCTCACTACGAGCTGCGTTCTACTATATACACTTCACTCGCGTGCGACACGCCACAAGCTACACTGCACTATGCACTACCCTACTACACACTCTGCATGCGCTTCATCTTCATGATGTGGAAGCGCCGTTGTTTTGTGACGTCGCCACTTGAATGCGCTTAGCGACCAAGTGCCGTTGTTCCGTTTATTCCGTTGTTCTCGTTAACGCCGCGTTTGCCAAATCTAGGCAACGTTCACTCGGCGCTTGTTGGGATTCACAGCGAGGTCCGTCGCACCCTTCCCTGCGAGCCGCGTCACACTGAATCTACTACTTCACACGACTTCGCACTGATGAAAAAAAATCAGTTTCCTTGTAATTTGTCTGATGATAAACAAAAGATTCGTAATTAGTGCAGATTAAACATTTGAGTAAATAGTTTAACCCTGCTAAATAACCACCCACTCACTCACCCACTCACTCACTCACCCACTCACTCACCCACTCACCCACCCACTCACCCACCCACTCACCCACTCACCCACTCACTCACCCACTCACTCACCTACTCACTCACCCACTCACCCACCCACTCACCCACCCACTCACTCACCCACTCACTCACCCACCCACTCAGTACACACACAGAGTAGACACACAAAGTACAGACACACAGTACACACACAGAGTACACACACAGTACACACACACAGAGTACACACACAGTACACACACACAGACTACACACACAGAGTACACACACACACAGTACACACACAGACTACACACACAGAGTACACACAGTACACACACACTATACACACTAGCAATCTAAAGCAACGCAGTAAATTCAAAGAAGCAATGTTCTAAAGCCAACAGCCGGTCAACTTTAATCTTCGCCAGACACTTCACCACGGCCAATGCGCCAATATAAATCCCGCAACATTTAATGCTGCCTTGTGAAATACAAACACAACTCAATTAAATTGTCATGTCCATGCTCATTTCAGATTAAGACCGGTCGCACAAAAGCACCCATTTCAGGAGACAATTTAAAGTCCGACTTAACAGACATGTTTTACCTTCACCCATTAGACTAAAGTTCAAAACTTTCTTTAAAATTATAAACGTCTAAAGTGTTCAACCAAACGCGGTGTATACCTTGTGTACACACCATAAACATTGCAAGAATCGCGTATCAATTAACAAAACCCACATGCAGACTTTTGGTTCTTCCGGTAAAGTCACGTAGAAGGGAAATAATAAAACATTATAAATTACAATTCTCACCACATTTCGGCCACAACGCAAGCAGCCGTCCTCAGGTGAAGAACAGGTCTGTCGGAAAGACAGCGTCTGAATGAAACACCACCAGGTTTGGCAGCGTATATTGCTGTGTATATTGCTGCCAAGCTTGGTGTGTTCATTCAGACGCTGTCTTTCCGACACACCTGTTCTTCACCTGAGGACGGCTGCTTGCGTTGTGGTGAAGAACAGGTCTGTCGGAAAGACAGACGCTGTCTTTCCGACAGACCTGTTCTTCACCTGAGGACGGCTGCTTGCGTTGTGGTGAAGAACAGGTCTGTCGGAAAGACAGACGCTGTCTTTCCGACAGACCTGTTCTTCACCTGAGGACGGCTGCTTGCGTTGTGGCCGAAACGTCGTGAGAATTGTATTTTATTATGTTTTTATATTTATTATTTCCCTTCTATGTGACTTTACCGAAAGAACCAAGAAGATGAATCCCTGCAGTCACGAAAGAATCTTTAAATCGAAACCCCCATGCAGTCCTTAACGTAACGTTTCTTCAGACCCAACACTATTTTTTTTTTCAAATCAAACAAACCCCCAATATGTGTACGCTCTGGGTGGGAGCTGTGGTTCTCTGCAACCTGCAACAACAACAGCAGCAGCAGCAGCAGTGAGCGGCATTAGCGACGTCAAGAAGCAACACGACAGATCGTGGTCAAACCCCGCAAAGGGCTGGATTGTCACTTGGAGAATTGCCGATTGTGGCCGACATTTCTCCGCGCCATCCAATCTCTAACGTGGGGCACGAGAGCGTTGACAAGCGACTGCCGTTTGAAACAAACTCCTCCACATCTTGTGTGAGCGCTCGTTGATTTAGAAGAGTTGTTCACGATGCAATACACAAATTGTATCGCACTGGTCAACAAACAAAACAACAACATGTAGTTCTGGCCTGGACTTTTGCAGTTGTTCTGGACTAATTTCAGGGTGCCGATTTCCAAATCTGATCTCAAGATTTGCTCCATCACATCTCATTTTTAAATCCTTTATATTAAGTTCGCTTGCTTGCTTGCGTGCTTGCGTGCTTGCTTGCTTACGACCGTGCAAATCTTTCGGTCGTTTTTTAACCCACTTCCCGTGATCCAATCGAGCTGACATTTGCACACAGACTCGTTGTGCGAGACAATTAATGTTTGTGAATTTTTTTTTCCAAAATTTTACACTGTTTAGGGAAAACAAATTAATATTTAATTACCAATTGCTTAATACTGGCAGACAATCATCTGACCCATAGGTGGCAGCTATCTCAAGCCAGAGGACGAGAGGACTCTAGCCGCCACGCATATAAAGGATTTATAGGGAAAAACTTTGTTTTTAACGGGTTATACTTATTATGCTATCGGCATACCCCATGAAATGGTCTCTCTCTGATCCTCCACGGAGCAGCGTGTTCTCACGGGGAGAACCTCACAAGCAACATCAACAGACTTCCGTTATCGTGTTGCAGAGAGCCGCCCTCACCTGCCGGGAAGACAGCGTCTGAATGAACACCGCCAGGCTTTGCAGCGTATATTTAAGCTGGGTTAGAGGAGGAGAGCGCCTTGACAAAGGGACTCACATAACAGAGGAATGTAGTTTATTTGTGGAAAATTCCGATATGGGATTAGTCACTACTTGTGGAATGTGTAGGAGGTGGGCGGGGGGGTTTCAAAGTCATATTATGCAGGATTAGCAGCATCGAAGGGAGGGAGTAGGGGTAGCATTAATAAAGGGAAGGAATCATATTCTTAGGTTTTTTCGGTAAAGTCGCATAGGTAAAAAAATTAAAATTATAAAATAAAAATCACGACGTTTCGGAGGCAACACAAGCTTCCGTCTTCAGGTGGAACCGTCACAGCCACGACAGCTGTATCAAGTAAATGTAATCTCGTAAATGTAATCTCTCATTTACTTGATACAGCTGTCGTGGCTGTGACGGTTCACCTGAAGACGGAAGCTTGTGTTGCCTCCGAAACGTCGTGATTTTTATTTTATTTTACTTTTATTAATTTTAATTTTTTTACATACGTGCCTTTACCGAAAAAACCCAACAATATGAATCCTCGCAGTCACGAAAGCTTCAAATCTAGAAAGGGAAGGAATGTTAATAGTACGGTAGCTGCAGCAGCTAAGCTACCACGTAAAAAAAACGTAAATTTAAACTACATCAGTGTCATCAATATACTAAATATACTCTCCAAACAGGTCCCTGCGGGGTGGGCTGGTAGGAGCGAACAAATACGATACGAAGGGAGAGTTTGAGGCCTAGTTCTAGGCTTTAGGCCTAGCTGTAGGCTTTAGGCTGCTGTGAGTTAATTTTTAATTTAAATGTTTTAATTAAAAACTATCTCAGGGAATTATAAGGGAATGTTACACTTGTTTAGCCAGGAAAGCCTCACTGAGTCTAAAGGTTTTTGTAGGGTCCTGCCAAGTGTTTGCAGTAGGGGGCGATGTTGCTACACCTAATCGGACATCGGACGGACGATATAATCTATTGTAGGCTGGTCCACTTCGTTCCTACCAGTATAAGCCGAGCTACTGTCACCGTCACCGTGGTCGTCACCTGTCTAGGCTGGACCTCGGCCGGCGGAGAAGGAGGAGGCTGCCCCCCCCCTCCCCCCCCCGGCGGCTTTGGGCGCGACCGTAATTATAACTACATCAGTATCATCAATATACTAAATATACTCTCCAATAAGCTGAGCTGCTGTCACCGTCACCACGGTCGTCACCTGTCTAGGCTGCACCTCGGCCGGAGGAGGAGACTGCCCGCCCCCCCCCCCGGCGGCTTTGGGCGCGCACGGCCGCCCGTCCCCCCCCCACAGGGCCCCGCATCGGCGGGAGCGGCGAGCGAGCGACATGGAGAGGTCCGCCCCGAACGTCGCCACGTTCAGGCGCCACTGCTCCGCCAACGTCACGCGGCAGTTCCTGGCGGGAGGAGGAGGAGGGGGGAGGGGCGGGGGTGGGGGGTGAGCACGGCTGGTCAGAGGTCGCAGACGGGTTTTGATTTCTTACCCGTACCCGGCCGCACCAGGGTCGCAAACGGGTACCCGTATCCTACCCGTACCAATACCCTACCCGTACCCTACCCGGAATGAGTGACAAACGGTGACTCACCAGTGACTCACGGCCTACCCCGTACCCGGCCGCACCAGGGTCGCAAACGGCTACCATTGGAACCTCATTTGCCAGCAAAAAATATTATAATTGTTTTTTTACCCTTTTATCTGGCAACAAAACTGACACCTTTATTACAAGGAGTCATGTTTGCATAGACCACAATACCTGCAGCCGTAATGCGTCATCTGTTCCAACCCATGTGAGACTAGGCTCTAAGGAAAGCTGTCTCGGGTATGGACCAATCAACTTCAAGGACAGTGCATATATTATCATTCTGACCGCAGGTATTGTGGTCAATGCAAACACGACTCCTCGTAAAAAAAGGTGTCAGTTTTGTTGACAGATAGAAGGGTAAAAAAAACAATGATCATATTCTGCTACTGCTGACAAATGATATTCCAATGGTCTAAACCCGACATCAGAGAGGTCCCTGCACGGCTCCACGCCATCCTGCGTCTAGACAAATGTTCGTCTGGTGCCCAGTCAAACAGTTGCACGTCCTTCTCTTATTCTCGGGGCTGGGATTTTTTTC